TTTTACAGGTTATTACATTAGAAGTAGAATTAACAGAAACACAAAGAAGATTTGGATTGCCTGTTCGGCTTCCTTACGATGGTACAACAGCGAGAATAGTAACACCACAATTATCAAGACGTCAACTGCCACCACCACCTTCTTCGTCTAGTTGCCAACTCTCTGATACTGAGACATCAGATTTGAGCAGTCCAGATGATGGAGACAAAACTGCAACTGTTGAACGAAAACTACCACTCCCACTTCCTGTAAAGGAAGAGTTAGATCGTGCAGTACCAGCACATCGACTTCTTGATAATTCAGCTGGTAAAAGTAAAGCTGAACTAGCAAGTAGAGGAGGTCTTGCTAATCGTCAACTTCCTAAAAGATCAGGAGGCCTTAGTAACAGTAGTTCGGTACGTATATGTGATCATTATGTTATTGTTATAATTTTTAAAACATTACTAATATTAGTTTGTAATTTACAGGATTATGGATTAGATGAATCGGGCGATAATACTGATGAAGATTCCTCTTCAAAGCACATTTCTCAGGACACAAGTAGCAGATCACCGAATGATCTTACATCAAAACAATCAAACTTAAGTTCCTATTCTAGTAGTTCATCGATCAGCTCATTAAAAGGCAAACAACACATTGAAACTACTCATACAACCGCTATCCGACAACATAGTACAATCAGTTCACAAGTTAGGGCAATGACTGAGCAAAGTTGGCCACAAACTCAAAAAAGTATGTGTGTTATGTTCTATGATATCATATCTATATATATAATATATAGTTAATAATGTATAAATAACAGTTTCTAAGAGCATGGTGTACTTTGTACAAAATAGGTTTAACTGGGCCTCCTGCATCATTGGCAGAACAATTAAAACAAGTCTTAGCTGAAAGAGAAAGGCGTCTTGGTGGAAACGATTTGTCATCTTCTAGAGAAAGTTCTGGAGATTTTAGCGATTTAAATAATCCACATAATAATGATCCCACTCTGGTAACTCATCATCTTGTAGAAGAAATACGACAAGCTGTAAACGAGGCTAATCAAAGAGGTATACATATAATTAATATAAATACATATATATATATATTTATATATATATAAATATATTTATAAAAAAAATTACTGTATTATTTTTATAGTAAAAAAAGTTACGATACCTTCAGCAAACTTAATTAGTAGTAGCGGGGCACCTTGGCATCATCCTGGTAGTTCACCTTCAAGTTTATCATCCGGAGGATCTGTTAGTCCACCCGCTGTTGATCCGAGCCCATCTAAAACAGGTAGCGCAGGTATGGATTAGTGATAATGATATATTCATTTACATACATATTAAATTATTCGTTTATGATTATTTGTTACGCGCATTTTCTAAATGTTAAGTGTTTCCAAAAGTAAATAAAATTATGAATCTCTAGATTCGAGTGAAGTTTGGTTGCCACCTCATTCAAGTGACTTTGGTTTAGGTGACAAGAAATCACACTTTTGGCAGAATGCACCAGTTACTGATTGGTCTAAGGAGCAAGTAAGAAACTTTTTATTTTCTTTTATATAGATTTAATTATTTATCTATGTATGCGTTAATTAAAAATTTATAATGAATACAATGATATCAGGTCTGCCAATGGTTGTCTGGAATGGGCTTGGAACGACATGCTCCACGATTTTTAGAAAATGGAATCAACGGTGTAAATCTTTTACGTCTCGAGTCACGAGAATTAAAAGCTTTTGGTATTTATGGTGAAGAGAAGGCTCATCTTAAACGGAAATTGAAAGAACTGAGAGCACAAGCGGATAGAGAACGCAAAGAACGTAAGGAAATGGAACGAATGCGAAGAAAGGCTGAGAAGGCAGCACGAAAGAAATAATTCTTGAAAATAATCTATAAAGAAAAAGAAAGTGAGAACTGCAATAATAATTGTCGAACAAAAAATTACTATGGTATGCATATTGTTGAGATATATATAGTAATTATACAATTTTTCTTGCATTATTGTATCCAACACAGAGACTAGATGTATTAATTTTTTCGAAGAACGCATATATATAATATATATATATATANATTATTATTATTATTATTATTATTATTATCTTCCAGAAGTTTTTCAATGAAACTATGATTGTCGATTATGAAATAATATCAATATTATAATTGATTTTTATCTCATGAATGTGTGTGTGAATCATCTCCAATGTATGTGTATAATGCTCCACAAATTAAAAGTATTTTGCATTTATTTATCAACGACATACTCATATCATAATTATATATAATTGTATTTCTTTTAAATCACGAACAATTTGTAGAAAATGATAATGGATATATATATATAATTTGAAAAAGAAAACAAGAAAAAAGAAAAAGAAAATGCAACATAGTACGTGTTATGTAGCATGTCTATATGCCATGTTGTATATGCATGTGAATTTCAACTTACGTTGAAAACGTAATTTCCAACGTAGGTTAAAAATCAGTGATATGTATGTACAAAAGTCAAGCCATTTAGATATATTATGTCTCTTTTATGAGACGGACTTCTATTTACTGATTGTGTATTTATTTTTATTACCTATTATTAATGGGTATAATATCAATTTTTCCATAATTAATAGTATAACATTATTAGAGAGAATATTTAATAATAATTATTATTGGAACAAGTGGCTGTCCCTTATTATGTAGATTATAAATTACCAACGAATTTTTAATTATTAATGCAATATACGTTATAGATATTGCTGTATAGAAATAATTCAATTGTGAAATAATGTTCTTTACTTATATTTGTTACGACTAGATTTATATTTAAAATCATTCTTTCAATAATATATATATATATATATATATATTATAAAGATGAAATTTTTCAATATTAAGGAATAGGTATTATAAAACAACATGAATAATTTTTTAATTATTATCATCATCACCTAAATCACGTAAATTATTTGTAACATACGTAACATGAAAAAGTATATTTGTCAATTGTATTATGCACACTAATTCTAATATTTAATTTTCAATATTAGTTTTGTCTATTTAAATAATGCCATTTTTTATACTGTACTTGTAGACACATTCCATATAAAAGTTAAAAAGATATATCTTCTTAATTAACACACAACAACAAGAAATAGGTATATTACAAGTATAACAGAAGCGCTTTCTATGCTTGAGAAAATATGAAGATATAATTGAATATATGCGCGCGAATATTATGCATCGTGTATTAAACTATTCTGTGTTAATGCAAGACTAATGTAACTAAACGAGAACACGTATATATTACGAGTTATATCTTTAATACAACAATCGATTTATGAAACTCTCGTTTGGTTACAATTTTAGACAAACGTGCTGCACTGCGCACGTGTACTTATTTATATTAGCTTTAAGATTATTTCTATGATAGTTAAAAAGTATATTTTTCTTTTTGCGCGCACCTCGTATATTAGCGCCGAAAGAGAGAAAAAAAAACATTTTGTCCAACGTATGCTAAAAAAAGAAAAAACAAGTTTTTTAATGTTTTTGTTTTTGTTTTTTCTTCTTTTTTATTAGAAACAATTAAACCTAGTAACATACTTATTATTGAAACGCATTGTATATATATACATTGAATAATTATTAATCATTATTATTATTATTATTATTATTATTATAATTGAGAAATTAATCTAAGACATACGTAAGATTATTATTATAATTAAAATATTATTATAGTGTCATAACACATCTCTATGATAAAAATTATAGTTTTTAATTTGATAATCGAACTATTTATCGGAGTCCTCCAATTTTTGAACAGTATATATTTACTATGTACCATGGTAATGTCCTTACAAGAAACAAAAAAAGAAAAAAAGAAAAGAAAAAGAAAAAAATTATAATGGTACACTCGTTTTTGTTATTAGAATCACAACGAAATGTGGGAATACATCGAGACACTTGAAAAGATAAAATAATTTCACTTAATTTTTTCGAATTATTTTGTGAATGAAAGCAACACGTATACATACATATATAATGTATTATTTACATTTAAATATATTAAAGAAAGAGAAAAGAAGAACTCGAAAGTCCTACACTTCGTCTGTAGATAAAAGTTTCGATTCTGTAAGAACAGACAATTGATAAAAACTGACTGATTTACGATAAGTTTTGTAGTCAATTTTCAACGAACAATATAAATGTGTAATTTCATAAAGTGTCATATGTGTCCGAAACAAAAAAGAAAAAAAAATGAAAGAAATACATTTTAGTCTAGCGCAAGAACCAAAATAAGCACATTTTGACAAAACTCTCTATGTGTCTGTCTTTTTCATACATTTTTTCATTGATTTTAAATTATTGTTCATTAAAAATAGAAATAAAAAGAAAGAAAAAAATAAACAAACAAATAGTATACCGAATAATCCCGAGTGGGAGAAGAAATGATAATGTAGCTGTTACATGAGTGTGGCAGCTCTTTTTCGACAGTGTCTACAAACAATATTGTCAACAAAATACTCTCTTAAACGTTTTAATTAAAACTGATTAAAAATAATAACGTGTGCATCAATTTATTATTATGAGTTCCTCTATTTTGCTATTTTTATTCTCTTTATTTAAATCTATATCGAAAACTGTTAGAATTGTTTTAATGATTTCTTTATATTCATGTGAATAACTAATTTAAATTTCCCTCGATTTTATTAACGACAAATTGAAATTTACCGCGCATGACATAGGTATAGATAGGATACGTTGAAATTGTTTGATCGATATAGACTATCAGTTATAATCTAGAATTTTTACTCTTTACAATTGTTTGTTAAATATTTAAATAAAATAATATTTTCAAAATGTTTAACATTTAAAGAAAATTATACTAAAACAATATTAAAAACAAATAAAGGAAGAAAACGAATGAAGTTTAAGTAAAGACAAATTATTCAATTCGATGCATAGTTCAGTTAATGATTAATCATCTAATTGAGTTTATATTCAAATAATTAAAAAATGCCTGTTATAATTATTAAAGATTATACATGGCGAGATACTGCAGATTGTGTTATAATTTACGTTCCATTTAAAAGTTGTCCTAAAAAGATCGATTTTTTGGTGATCGATAATTATTTAAAGGTACGTATTAATTTTTAATCACGTACTTAAAATCTATTTTACTATTATTAAAATATTATCTAATTAATGAAATATCTTTTTTTAAAGTAAGTGCATTAAGAAGAACAAATTAATAATAGTTCGAAATTAAAAAATTTGTTAAATTTGCATCATTTTAGGCTAGTTGTCCGCCATTTTTATTAGAACTGTTTCTTTGGGGAAATATTATCGAGGAAGAAAGTACATGTACACTCGACGATGATAAAGTTATATTTTCTTTACGAAAAGCTAATATTTCTTTAAAATGGCCTCAACTTGAATTAGACGATCTTGATAAAAATACTAAAAAGAATTACCGTGATTGTGCGATTGAACGTATTCAAAAAGTTACAGAAGAACGACAAAAAGCTCGAAGCGGTTTGTTCAATTAATGCACACATAAACATGCACATGCGCATATTTTATATAATAAATATTTATTTCCAGAGAAGCGACAATATTTGAAAAAGGAAGCAGTAAGAGCGCAAATAGATTTAGATACCGCAGTTTTGAATAAAATAAATGCCGTGAGGGATTCCCATAGAAAAGAAGCTATGAAAGCGTTAGAAGATTGGAGATCTAAAGCCGAGATACCGATTTTAAAAAATGAACAAGGAAAAATTGAAGAAAATCGTAAAGCGTACAAGTAAAATGTTTTATCATTTTCTTTTTTATACATAAATAATCTTTATGCTAATATAATTATACAATTACATCACAAATGAAGAAACTTTGAAAAAACTATTTATGGAAGTTATAATGAAAGTTATGACGTCATCATGAAACGCGCGTGCAATGTTTATCTAATTTTTATTTTATTTTATATATAACTCCAAGATGTATATATATGCGTTTAATTAAAATATTTATTATAATGTGAAATATTATAAAACAATTTAAATAGAAAATATATATTTTTGAAGGCCACCGTTAAAATGGTTTAAGGACGACGTTACTGGTACAGTGAAGAACAGGCCAATGACCGATGAAGAAGTTTTCGTTAATAACACGAAGGGTTGCAGCAAAGGTAGAAATGATAGGGAATTAGATTGGAATGAGTCCAAAGTAAAGGAAGCATCGTTTCATGAATCTGAATTTCCAAGAAAAGAAGAAGATGGATCAATCGAATTAAATGCAAGGGAAAATGATCTGACGATGAATAAGCATAAATTAAATATTACCGAAGAAAAAAAAATAAATATTTCGACGGATAGCGAATCGGATTCCGATCGTAACTCGTATGATAAATCAATTAATGGCAACATCTTGCGTAAGTCGTCATCTACATCTTCTTTTTCTACTTCTACGAAAAGTATTCGTAGTAGTAGGAAAGAATTAATCGAAAGAATATTGACAAGTGGAAAACCACAAAGGATGAACCAAATATTCGACGAACCTAATAAAGCCGTACCACTACCAAGAAAAAATGCTATTATTAATATTAAATTCTCCGAACGTACATTTCCGACTCCGGCAAGAGAAAGTCATTTGATCGAAGAACAAGAAGTATGTTGTTTTTTCTTCTTCTTCTTCTCATTTTCTTATTTATTGTCTTTTATAATGATCTCTCACTCATTGTGAGTCAACCTTCAATAAATTAATGATAATTAGTATGAGAGATGTGTGTTATTATTGACGATTTAATTTTAGTGGTTGGGGAAACAAGCAGAAGCAAGAAGAAAAACTGGTTTTGTAGCTGAAGATCTGAAACCAGAGGAAAGAGACCCGCAATGGTTAAAAGATAAGGGAGAGTACGTTATAACGATGCCTTTTTGTTTTTTAATCATTTTTAATATATTTCTATTTTTTGTTTATTTCGTTCATAATAAAATTTAAAAAATTTTTTTACAGTGAATTCTTCAAGGCAGGAAATTATTTAGGTGCTATCAGTGCTTATTCTCTCGGTATAAAAATTAGCGATAAAATGGCGTCATTATATGTTAATAGATCTGCGGCTCATTATGCACTTGGGAATTATTATAGATGTACCGAAGATTGTAGCAAAGTAAGAACTCATTGTAATACGTTTACGTTAATGACGTATGTAATGAAAACAAGTGATGGCCGAAAAAATATATATGTAGAATCGAAATTCGAATTCACTTTTAATATAAATTTCTTTCAATAAATTTTGTGATTTAAAATTTCATTTTATTCATATTTAATATATTTTTGTAATTTATCTAGGCATTAGAACTCATGGAACCAAAATGCGAAAGTAATCGAGGGTCAAGAGCCAGGTGTCACGCACGCCGAGGTGCAGCTCTTTGTAAATTATCTGCGCCACAACACGGCATTCCTGAACTGGAAGCGGCAATAAAATTGACACCGAATAATGAAAGTATTAAACGTGATCTATTAACTGCTAGACAATATTTTAATATTAAAGATTAGATAAGATAATTAAAACTGCTGCAACGAAAAGGATTACAATAAATTTTAATTACTGGTAATATCGGAAATTTATTATTTTTATATAAGATTCAGATCTTAATAGATAAAGATATCACAGATGCACATATCATGCATGTATTAATAAACAGTGAGGAGTAAGCTGCACACACACACACACACACACAAATACATAGTAATATAAAAATAAAAATATAAATATATATATAATATATTATAATATGTAAGTAGAAACAATCAAATTATGTTTTTTTTAATTCATTGGAAATACAAATCGATTATAATAGTAAATAAATAATCACGATAATAATATGTTTGCAGTAAATAAACGACCAATTATATACGATAGTGATTACGTGATAGATACGAATTGATATGTTTTTAAAGCAATTTTCATTATTGATTGAGGTACAATTACAGTCATTTCCATTGCATTTATACGTTCAGACAAATAATTACGTCATATTGACTTTAATTTCATCAATGCAAGCGCATTCGATATCTTCAACAGCGTGAATGACTTCATGGTGCCTATCACGTTGTCGATCTATGAGATGTTTAACCATAAACACCAAACTGACGTTTCTAGTCTCAGTTGGTGCACAGATCTGTTTGGAATTGGGACAACATCCGGACCCACCGCAACGTGCCAATACCGTTGATGAAGGATAGAAAATTTCATCAGGATCAGGTCCAATTGTAAGAAGTTCTGCAACAGGAACTGCTCGTAGTTGTGGCAATGAACAACGAAATTCATTTACTAATTGCACGTGCTTTAGGTAGTCATTATCTCTATAAATAAACAAAATAAATTTCTCTTGTGATTTCGTTGAATGAAAATATTTTCTAGGTGACGTATCAATGATTTACTACAAAACTTTTACCTGTGGTGTCTACCGGTAACCACAAAAAATAAAACAGCAAAAAGAACTAAAGCAATTCTCTTCATTGTTGAATATCACGAAAAATAATTCACTGAAAGATTAAATAGAAAAATCCTGCGATCCCAGGAAGTTTCAAGTAAATCGAGAATCTATTTTCAGATTAATCTGTCTTCGATCTTTAAAATCTTGGAGATGCACAAGGAGGATTATTCCGATAGGCAACACCAAGGTGTACTGTAACTTCTCTCTTCTGCGATCTGAATTCTTTCTCTGATTTTCTTTCTCTCTCTCTCACTCTCTCTCTCTCTCTCTCTCTCTCTCTATCTATCTCTCTCTCCAACTCTCTGTTGTTCTCTTTATATATATATATGTAACTTTCATCCACAGCCCACTCTCCCTTCTTCTCTCTCTCTCTCACTGATTTCCCTTTGCGCCCCTTCTTCCTCGATCACTATCTCACTGTCTCGTTTTCTTCTCTGAATTTAACAGCTCTTTCTATCTTCCTCTTGTTTCTTGGTAAGCAATGGGAGGGGTCGAGAACAAACCGTTCTGAGAACATCGCAAAGATAACTATAATTACAACTAGTGGGTCCTACCTCCCATTCGAAGTGAGACCAAGTTGACTCGCGTGACGTTATACCTTCTTATTCCTTCCTCTTCCTCCTCCTCAACCTCCTCCATCCCACGTATCAAATTTTTTTCTCTCTCTTCCTGTCTCTGTCTCTCTTATATTTTGGCACATCATTTATAATGATTGGAAGAGATCTCCTTTTGGAATCTCACCCCTAAAGTATGCAATCTTTCAGAACAAAATCATACTGGTCATATAGTCATCCTAGTCATCATATTAGCATATTATTATCATCACATTAGAAGTTACAAAATGATACTTTAGTATATCTGAACTATTTCAAATCATTATTAAAAATTTAAGTGTGAGTATACAATGTTAATAAGTAATTTTAATATATACTAATCGAAAGATAATTAATTAATTAAGGACCATGATTATCTATGAATTAAGGAAGAACATTAGTTAATTTTGATACAGTTCATTGATAATCTGTAATCAGTATGCAGATTTCTTTCTATATTTTGCTATATATTTAAAAATACGATATTTGAAAAGTTGAATTTCATTCTAAAAACATATAACATTATTAATTTAATTATGTTTTATCTAGGAAAAAAAATATGACGTATGATCAAGATGTCGTTTTAAGAGAAGATAAATACCAGATGTTTCACTCGTAAGAGATGCGACAGGTTGCAGTGAGTCATCATGTGCAGTGGAGACGTCTTCGAGACATCTACTTGCTGCACAAAAGACATTCGTGGTCCTTTTATTCTCTTCAAAGTGACACCGGAATCTGTGAAACTACCTTGGAATTTCTGTGATATTTAAAACGGTGGTTACAAAAGTATTTTTATTTTTACTGTAATTTCACTTCGAAAATTAGTAATACGACTATAAAATATCCACATCATTCTTCGACCTTTTTTATATGAGTATATACATCCGTTTGTGCCATTTTACAAGACTGAATCATCAAGGTAGACCATACTAACGGATAACCCATTGAATACAAAATTAGGCTATTGCGTTTGACCATCGATATTTTACTTCAACTGTTTCAAATCGTGATTAGAAATGCAAACTTGGATGTAAAAATGTTAAAAAATTATGTTAATATACTTCAAGAAAATAGGTATATTAAATTAAGAAAAAAAATTGTTATCTTTTTTTTAATCATGGCAATATCGTCATAGCGCTATCAATAACCGTTTAAGTGGACGTCGTAAGTGGCATTTTCTTTATTTCCTCTTCAAATGTCGTAGGAAAAAATGTTAAGTATAATTTTCTATAAATAGAATGAAGTATGGGTCGCGTGTAAATGAATTGCATAAGTTTTGTAGAAATAATCTTTAACTACTTGGAGCAATGAGAAACCGGTATTATTAATGAATCCGGACAATTCTTTCACAACGAGGGATATCCCCGTTACGTTTACGTCAACAGTATATTATAGTAAAGTATATGTGTTAACGGATACGATATTAAAATGATCACATTGACGTGACATCTTTTTTTTCAAGGTACACTAAGGTACATCCCGTTCAGTATCAGTAATAAATCCCTATTAATTGATTGATTAATTAATTAAAATATGTAAAATGTTGTGTCATCAATTGTTTGAACTAATATTGTAAATCATCTAATTTCATGTTCGAAGTGCCTCTTCCTTACACGAATGCAAGTCTGACATTGTTGCAGCACGAAACGAACCTGTTACACGTAATTGTGAATGCACATTCGAAAAAACTTAATGATGCTTGACTTTTCTGCCAGAAAATTTGCTACGATACTCTCTTACAACAGCTAGAGTATTTTCGTCGCACAAATTATACAAGTAATGCATATTCACGTATTCTTGGTTTAAAAATACTTTCGGCATTTTGAACAGTAGTATTCAGCAAAGAATCTTAAAGAGAACTAATATCAATTAAGATTCTTTAAACCGTTTTGAAAAAATAAATGTCATAGAAAAGCATAAGAAGAGGTGATCATAATCAACTGAAAATTTAAGGGAAGTCCCATTGCTGAGTAAATATGAAAATTTATAATTATTGTCAGAACTTTTTAGTTCTTATTTTCGTGCATAGAATACATTGACATATATATATTATAGTTGCTCGATGCATCGTATTTAACATATTAAATAAAATACATTTTGAACAAATACATAGAGAAAAATGATAGATATATTATATATAAAAATATATATAAAGATAAAAAATAATAAAATTATAAATATACAATTAAGTAAAAATTCGTAAAAAAATCATAATTTACAGATATGATAAAATTTTATGGAATAAGGTTAAACTATTTCGATTTTACGATATTAATAGTAGCAGACATATTTATAAAATTTTTGAGATCTTCATTTTTTTTTATTTCAGTCAAATTCTTCGACGATATAGAATTAATTTATAAGATTTCTAATTTTATCACATATCGGTATCTATAATATATTCCATATGGCTACTCTTTGGAACGAAAACGATCCATACTTTCTTCCTACATTCCAGATGTCATTTTATTTATAAGATCATAGAACTTAAACGCACGTGTGCGTAATCTATTGATTTTATTATAATTAATGAGATTCAATCAATTTTACTTCTAATTTTCAATACTTCTGAATTTTTTATTACCTAAAACACAACTAATTATCGACAAATTGATCAAACAAATTTATTAACAATTCATTAAATTTAACATATGACATATTTTTCCTTTACTTATTCTTTTGATCTAAAGAAAAAAAAGATAAAAAAAATGATCGTAAATTAAGTCACTTTGTTCTTACCCTAAGGGGTCTTATTTGACTTGTATCAATTTTTTTTTATTATATGGATCTTTTTTATCATGCTCCAATATGGCGCACCTATTTATTATGCAAAATATCTTTTTTCCTCAAAGATTTCCTTGTTCTCAGATACGTCATCTCTCCTACATACGATTCAAGCAATATTCGATATTTTCTGCGAATTTTCTTAGAAATGGATAAAAATATAAGGATATTTATATATAGGTATATGCTTTATTTTTCCTTTCGTTTTTCATCCGTTTTATTTCGAGCATATTTAATCTTCATATAAGATATTTTAATGAATGATGCAAACAGGTAAAAGATGATTCGTATAAAAAGTTAATACCCATAGTACAAATCAGGTATTGCTTGTAATATCTTCTGCGGTTAACTTTGAGGAAAACGAATTTATGATCAAAATTGCATAGGTGATTTTCAGATAATTGAATAATGAATCATATCGATATGAGTCAATGATAAAACCCTTTTCCTAAAATAATGAAATATCACCGACTTATCGATCATAATAATAATTTTAAACGATGTAATGCGCCGATAATTGTATAAATATTTTTATCAACATGTTCGTTAATCAAATTTCCGAAAAAAAAGAAAAACTTCGGAATATTAAACATATAAAATCCTTCCTCTTAATTAGAATAAAGGAAAAAGTTAGTCCATTACAGAAATACAAAATTTTTTTTCTTTAGAACTGATGACAATTCAGGAAATAGGGAAATAATTAGTTGATCTGTTTAATTTTGCGGGTATAATGAAGAAAGGGGGAAAAAGGAAAAAAATTGAAAGGAAGAAAAGGAACGTTCTTACGTAGAAGATTATTTTTCTAATGTGGGATATGTTACACGTTCATCGACCACCGATCACGCGTGCAACCTCTCTGCTATATATAAATACTCCTCTGCTAGTCGGCGAATCTCAGTCAGTCAAGAATACGTCCAACGGCCACGTTTTCTTGAATAGAAAGACAATTTTCTTTGCTTTAAACGTCGTTCCAACTTGGACACTCAAAGATCTGAATGAATTTAATCATTGAACTTGTTCTCGTGCATGGATCCAAACATTCGTTCACCTTTGTGTTTTAAAATAAGTGCGCAAGGGTAGTGAGAACAAAACTGGCTCGATAATCAGTAACCAATCGTGCACAAGTGGATAGGTCAGATACGAAAGCATTGTTTTTTTGCTTTAATTGAGACAAGAAGAGGAAAAAGAACAAGAATAAGAAAAACAAGAAGAAGAAAAGAAAAACAAGAAGAAGAAAAGAAAAACAAGAAGAAGAAGAAAAAGAAGAGGGAAAAGTACATACACACACACACACACACACACATATAAAAGCAAAAAAAGATGTTCAAACAAACGAATAAATATAACTTTTGCCTTAGGCTAATTATCTTGATCGTATCGATCATGTGTAATACGGCTCAATCGATGCCGAGTAACAATGTAAGTTGTCAAATGAATCATCTTTATCATCGTACACCCAAAAGGATGAACTTGTCACAATCGAACGACGTTGTGAAAAAATTCTCTTGCCGAGAACCACAATTCCGATCCTACAATTTAAGGGATTTGATGAAGGATATTCACACCAATTCGGAAAGCGTTAATTACCCGCTTTACATTGTTTTGAACAGATGCGATGTACATTCCGGATGTTGCGGGAGTACACTGAAGAGCTGTACCCCGATGGAATCGGAAATTTATCACGACGAGTTAGAAGTTGAGATCAATAGTATAGAAACTAATATTTCAAGAACATTATGGATAAGAGTTGAACAACACGGTAAATGTATTTGTGCGGAAACCGACCCCGATGAACGTCAGAGTTTTTCGATCCCGAAAATTGAGATGATTTGATTGATTGATGTTGTGAACAACAAAATTGATTCCTACGTTCTTGTGAATACAAAAAAATAATAATAATAGAAACTATAACAAAAAGACAAAAAAATATGTAAGTAGCAATCTCGGTGATAATATTGATTAGGACGTATTAAATGTGTATTACATTTCCGAGAACAATATTACAAAGGACGTCTTCTCTTTTTTATTCAACTTTTTCTATCTATTTATATACCGATTGTTTAATCTCGCTTAAAACATTCCAAATGTAAAATCCATATAGTTTGAAATGTTCGAAGGTGTTTGATGCAAGCGTTTATAGTGCGATGCGCAAAGATTGGCTCGTAGCCCAGCATGATCTATATAGACAGTGTCTCTTTCTGAAACCAAATGCCAATGAATCGGCACCTGTTCTTCAAAATTACTTTTGCCAAAATTGAAGTCTTCTTAGAAAAACTAAATAAATCAATGAAATATAAACAAAATTCAAATTTTATACATATATTATATTATAATCAACGGCCTAGCCACGTTGGATTACTAGCTCTTTTTAGATCATTAAAATCAAGCAACGTGAGCACGGTTAGTAACATGGATAGGGTGACTCGTTCGAAAAAGCAAAAGACAAAAACCATGTGCTGTTGACTCCAGAGAAACGGTAAAAAGACTCTTCTATTCGGTAGAATTGAATAAGTGTTAGAAGGTGTTCGTAAAAAAGTGACTCAACCCGTAAAAGGGAGAGCAAAAAAAATATATATATTTGTAATCGGATTGGAAGATACCAATGTCTTGAATCTGTATTACAAGGAGTAAACTATATTGTTATATTAGTTTTTTTTGCTCTCCCTTTTACGGGTTGAGATCCTCTTCTATTAACACCTTTTTACATTTGTTCAATACCAGAGAAGTCACGTTTTTTACCGCCTCTCTGAAGTCTTTTGTTTTTTTGGACAAGTCATCCCCCCATCCATATTACTAACAGTGCTCACGTTGTTTGATTTAGTAATCTAAAGGGAACTAATAATCTAACGAGGCTAGGTCGTTTGTTTCACTGTGAATATATTATATTATATAAATATAATTATAACACTTTGTACTCGGAAGATTCCTGTGAGAGGGACATAAGTTTTTTTTTAGTAATTAGATAGGAAAAATTTATGTTAAGTTCAAATTTCAATAAATAATATGTTGCTCTCTCAATGTTTAGAAATTCATATAAATTAAATTTCATTAGAATGTATTTTTTTGGTTTCAAAGTTATACTATATCTCTACATTGTTAAGTTGCTAGCAGCCAATTTTTAGGAATGTTTCGAATGCACAAAGGGATAATTATTTAATTATAATTTTAATGATTATATAAATATAATATATTAAAAATATATAATGTATGTATATAGAAAAAAGTTCGTTAAAATTCGTTGAACTGAACAAGATTTCCTTAAAAAAGGAAACAAAATACGCTTCGTTTAATTGTGATAATACGTAGATAGCATTATAATTGTAATTATATTTATATATCTATATGTGTATAGTTTAAGTCATACTAATTAATTTATTGATCGTATTTATAATCAGTTTTTTTTATATCTATTGCGTACTTAAAAAAAAAAAAAAAAAAAAATTCATATCATTTTCATTCGTAAAAGACTTGGAAAATATTAACTCTGATGCAATAACTTTTCAATCAAAATTTTTACCATTGCATTATTTTTCTTAGAAAACAATTAGTTTAATTCTTTTTAAGATATTAACAAAGTAGAATTATTTATTGATTTAAATTTAATGAACATACAATTCGCGACACGAATTGTTCGAGTTAGAGACTGAAATGATCGTATAAACTGATTTTCATTTATTTTTTTAGTTTCGGAAAAACTTTGGCGTCTTATTAATTAATAAATAATAATATAAGTTTATTTGTAATTATATGAAATTTTTTAACTAATATTGAATTTAATAGTAAATAATTATAAATATTTCGAAAGAGCAAAACATTGATAGCATTGTAGGCATGATATATACATTCATCATGCTACGCAATATCCATAAATTACATACTAATGACGTACATACGTACCGTATATATGTGAAATTATTTTTGGACAGTTTAATACACACATACATGTATATATATATATACATAGCGCAGAAAAAACAAATTTATTTTAATAAAAATATGTACTAGCTCATACACATACACACCAAAACAATGTTCATATTTTTTGGCGACTAATTTTGATAATATTAAAAAAATAAAAGAAAAAGATCTTTATTTAATTATATGTAATATATATATATAATGAAAAGATTTCAAATAATAATTGAAAATAATTATGAAGATTAATTATTATGTATTTAAAGTGCCAAGAATGTTTTAACAAAACACGCATACAAAAAAATGTAATATTAATAAATTTTATACAAATTTGTTCCTAGAACGGAAATTATAGGCTAGTTTATTTATTTATACATTTAAGGAAAATGAAAAATACTGCCATAAAAATAATAAATGAATTATATTGTTCTTCGTTTTTACATTAGTACGTAATAAGTTTTTAAATTCATCTTTTTTTTCTGTTTTATTTTATTTTTAGTTTTAATGAAATATACTTATCAAAGAAGTACTTTAAAAAGAAAGAATTAGAAAAAAAAAAATAAAGAAGAAAAATAAAATTATTTCTAAAAGTAACGAACAGGTTATTACTTGGATTAATATGTAAAAAATAACGAATAAATTTGGTAATTTTAACAAAATGGACGAAGGGCTTAGGCACTTTTAAATTGCTAATTATGTCTTGTATATTTGAAAATAAAACGATTATAATGGAATGTAGTTAAACATATTTTCAGTATTAAAAAATAAAAAACACAAATAGTATTACTTTATATAGCAGTCATTGCGATTTCTGTGAAATACTTGAAAGAAAAGAGAAGAAAAAACAATGGTCCATTAAGATTCCCTATCTTCGTAAAATGATTATGTCATTATTATTATTATTATAATAATATAGTAAATACGTTAATTTATTTGTACAATGCTTTTAATACCCTATTCATAAGAAATATATTTTCATAATTTTTTTTTACTAAGTGTAAAAGAGAAAATAAAAGAAATATATATGTTTATACCGTTACTCGATTTGTCAAAATCCATTTATATTTCTTATAATATTTAATTCCTATTATAAGCTAAGTATATTTTTTTTTTTTTAAATTAACACTATAATAATGAGATGTAAAAGAGACATGTATGTTCATATACATTTATATGTACCTGACCTATATAGTAAATTTAAAAACGTGCGTATGGATATTTAGCACGCATTCTACCTCGTCCTCTAGAACCTCGTCCTCTTCCTCCACCTTCGTTATTTGTTCCTCGTGTTGCATGTCCACGCATTACATTTTGTCCTCCTGAGGATAAAAAAAAAACAAAAAATGATGAATAAATGATCAAATAATTGTAAGCCTCAAAGATAATAGACAAGGTATTAGTATTAAAGATAAATACATTTAATATATATACTTAACATCAGAATTAGAATTTTATTCTGAAAAAAGATCAGATGATGCTGTCTCGAAAAAATAAAAAAAAAAGTATTTTTATCTTAGATAAGAATAAACGGAATATATGCAAGATTATATATGCATAGATGTATTAACCTCTTCCAGATTGACTTTCCCAGACAATAGGGGTTGGTCTTGCACCACGAGCACGAAACGGTGATCGTGCCGATCGTCTAAGGGGTGTACCTCTATTACCATTAGCAACTGCAGCAGCAGCTGCAGCGGCAGCAGCAGCCATTGTTCGTTGACGAGTATTACTGGAAGGAGATGCTTCAGCTTCTCTGCTTTCTTCCTCTGCGTCGTCTTCAACAATGTCACTTCCAGGTTCTTCTACACCTTCTCCCGTGTCAACGGCATCGTCATCACCTGATACTAAAGATCCAGCTTCTTCTGTCCGCTTTTCACCTTCTGAACTCACTCCTGCAATTATTTCAATCAATGTGATTTAAAACATGAATAATTGATTTGATCGGAATGTATCAGAAATATTATCATATGCAAATATCATGTCATTTACCTTCAGTTGGCATCGTACTAGATTCTGTGATAGCTTCCGTTTGACCCTGTTGTTGTTGCTGTTGATCTGCACTACCTACACGAATACTTACAATCGTAGATTCTTCGTTAGTATCACTCACGGATGCACCTATTACCGGTACTGTTGTTACAGTACCGAGAGTTTCTTGTTCTTCCGATGGACCACTACTAGTCTACAAAATAAAGAATTATTATTACGTGTAAGAATAACTTGCATGAATATGTGTATTATTTAATTACTTACAGACGGAGGCAAATCTGCAGCAGGGGAGACTTGTAAAGGTGTAGTAGGTACACTACGGCCAGTACCGCCATCTTCTAATTGACCAAGATCTATCCTATTGTCATCTATGCTTTCTTGTACCACTTGAGCTGCTCCTGAACTTAATGAACCAAATATTGTTCGAGTAACAGTTCCAGTAGTAGTTGTTAGTGAAGGTGTCGAAGAAGCTGTATTGGATGCAGACGAATCTCCAAAAGTGAATCGTGCTTGAGGTACTTGAGGTGAACTCACAGCTTCTCCAAATCCATCTCCTCGTCGAGGTACAAACAATGTGGGTGTACTGGGTACTATGCTATCATCACCTCCATCTTCGTATCCTTGTTGTGGCTATATTATCGAAATTTACATTTTACATTTATTAATAAAATTAATGTTTTCTCTCTCTTTAGAGAAGTAGCATATTCATATAAATTAAAAAACTAACCAAAAGCAAATGTTGCTGTTGCTGTTGTCGGGGCATTGGTGCAATACCACGCGATGAGCGAGAGGTAAAGGAAGTTGCTGGTTCACCCGTTTGTCCAGCACTACTAATTGCTTCTGATTGCTGTTGCTGTTGATTTACAGGTATCGTTGCTTGAGCTTGCCTCGGAACCTCCACACTAGCCGAATCTTCTTCCATTATAATCTCAACTTCGTTGCTGTCTCGTTCTACCTCTGCTTCAACTTCATATGGCATTTCATCTTCCTCTTCCATTTCTTCGTACGGATCATTATCAAATTCCTCTTCTTCTTGTGCTTGATTATTTCCACCTCCTTCTCCTTCGTCACAATCTACTATTACTACACAACCTTCTTCAACTTCTTCATCTTGATCACGCTGACTAGAAGTAGGTACCTACAAATACGATGAGTATTATATATATATTTGTTTAAATCACTTTCTTTTTTTTTAAGTACCATTCAATACTTACTTGATACTCTATTTCTGAAAGACTGGCACTAGCTGATGACCCTAACTCTGTTTGCCTACTTCTCTTGGCTTTTGGACTAGGTGCTTGTTCTTGTCTACTGTGATCTTCTATTATTCCCGATCCGGATGCAGTAGAATCAAGTGTTCTAGGACGTTTATGACCAGTAGATGCTTGAGAAGTACTAACTGACTGTGTAGAACTGCTAGCTACCGTTTGTTGTTGATCACTAGCTACTGCTTGTTGTTGTTGTTGCTGTTGTTCAACTCGTGGGCTAACAAGTGCCACAGTCTGTTGCTGCTGCTGCTGCTGTTGTTGCTGACATTGCTGTTGTTGTACATTTAAAGTTTCACCACTCTCTGCGTCTTCTCTTTGAGTTGATTCAGCAGATTCGCTCAATTGTGGTTGAACGACTAACTGACGTAGCGTACTTGGTGTAGTTTGTGAGGAACTACTTGTACTAGCTGGTTGAAAATCTGTGAGACTACTTGTCGGAGAACTTGTCTCAGTTGTATGAACTATTTGTTGTTGAGGTTGTTGCTGTTGATGAGGTGCAACCATAACAGGTGCGGTTGCAGTCGTCGGTAATACTGCTGCTGTTCTAGACTGAACTACTACACTCATTGGCCTAATACTTGCTAGAGGTGTTTCTGCACGTGCAGACATAGGCTTAATATTAGCAGTAGGAGGTTCACTTGGTGGGCTAACCCCACTAACTCCTGTTAATTGTCTCTGCAACTGTGTAATACGTTGTAGCAGAGCTTCCTTTTCTGCTTGAATTTCTGTCTTTTCATGTTCCAAACGAGATATTCTTCCTTCCATTTGAGATTTCAATGCAGCAAGTCTTGCATCATGGTCCGATGTATCTGAATCATTCGATCCAGATTCTATTTTTG